CATTGCACCGTGACCCCCTTCTGACAACAAAAATTACTTCGCGCCCCCAGGAGGGGGGACCGAAGCCTGAGCCTGCCCGAGCCCTAGTGCCCCGGGTAGGGGGGCCAAAGCCCGAGCCTCATCGCTTTGGGCAGGGGGGCCAAAGCTGAATCAAGGGCTTCAGCCCCAGGCAGGGGGCCTGCAACCTGAGCCACACCACACAGGGCTGAAGCCCTCAGGCTTTGGCTTCGGCCCTGGGCAGTGGGGCTCAGGCTTCAGCCCTGGCCCCAGCAAGTCTAAGCCAGCCCTTGCGACCCCATTTGGGGTCCCGACCCACAGTTTGAAAATTGATGATCTCCTGCATGATAGTCTGATCTCCTGCATATCATAGGCCACCACCACCACCACCCAGGACCCACACACTAAATCTAACAGTGGAAATAAATGAGACCCACAGGAAACTAGACTATTAAGTGCCAGAGGCAAGAGAATAGGACAGACCAAGGTGCACCAGTGCATGAGGCCCCTGCAGTGGCAGGGAAACGATTGAATGAGATATACCCAAATAATCCTGGTAAGGGATCCACACCCCCATGCTTCCGAGGAAGGCAAAAAAACCCCAAAGTCACTGCCAGTCTGACCTGGGGAGGGGGATTCCTTCCCGACCCCACTTATGGTGATCAGTTAGACTGAGTATATGAGCAAGAACCAGCTAGCCAAGCACCCCCGAGAGAGAGAGAGCGAGAGAGAATGCTTGGTGCCACCTCAAAGCCCTGGCCCACCCTGCCAAGTATCCTGTCTCCAGCTGTGGCCATCCCTGATGCTTCAGAGGAAGAAGATTAAAAAGCCTCCCAGAATATATGGGCACATAGGGGTGGGGGGGAAAAGTTTCACTTCCTGACCCCTGCAAGTGGCCGGCTGAACCCTGAAGCTTTCGTAACATAAACTGGAAGTGAGCCGCAGGGCTGCTGTTCTCTGTCCCCCACCATCACAGGCAAACCTGTTATACAATTGCACTCCTAAATGTGTCCTGCTTTCTCAAAACTAAGGTGTTTGCCCCCACAGCTACTACTGGGAGGCTGTTCCAGAATCTCACCCTTCTGGTGGTTAGAAACCTTCTAATTTCCAGTCTGAATTTGTTCATGGCCATTTTATATCATTTGTTCTTGTGCCAACATTGTCCTTTAGCTTAAATAGCTCTTCATTGTCCATGGTACTTACCCCCTTAATGTATTTATGGAGAACAATCATATAGACTCTCAGCCTTCTTTTTGTGATACTGAACAAGCCAAGCTCATTTAGTCCCATCTCATAAAATAGGCCTTCCATTTCTCTGTTCATCCTAGTAGCTCTTGTCTACACCTGTTTCAGTTTGAATTAATCTTTCTTGAGCATGGTTGACCAGAATTGTACACAGTATTCCAGATGAGGTCTGACCAATGCCTTGTACAATGGCATTAATACTTTTCTATCTCCACTGGAAACGTCTCACCTAATATGTCCTAGGATTGCATTTACCTTTTTCACAGATGCATCATGTTTGTTGCTCATCCTCTGATCGACCTACACACCCAGGTCTCTCTCCTCTGTCATTTCCAACTGATGAGCCACCAGGTTGTAGCGTAAATTCTGACCTTGCATTTTGTACTAGTGAATTCCATCCCATTTCTGTCACTCCAGTCTTCAAGATCATTTAGATAATCTTGTGTAATAATCTGATCCTCCTCTTTATGACGATGCCTCCAAACTTGTATCAACAGCAAATTTTATTAGCACTGTGACGGGTTGGATCA